TTAAACACAGGAGAAAAAAGAAGCTACTAGAATTGCTACACAAATTCAGTAGCATAGCAGGATACAAAGTCAATACCCAAAAGTCAGTAGCATTCCTCTACACAGACAACAAACACACTGAGAGGGAAATTAGAGAAACAATATCTTTTACAGTTGCACTGAGGAAAATGAAATACCTTGGAATTCATCTAAGTAAAAAAGTCAAAGATCTTTTCAAGGAAAGTTACAGTACTGTGAAAAAAATTAATAAAAAAATAAAAAAGATAAAAAGAGCATGCCTTAAAAACATGGCCTTAAAATGGTTGGCATGCTTATGAAAATTATTCATATGTATTTCTACTTCATATTTGTTATTGTATAGGCAATGTCTCAGAGATGAAAAACAGACTGGGGTAAAAATAACTGTTTTGGAAGTTTAATGATTTGTTCTTGCAAAATCATTGGAAAATTAACTAACGTTGTCATTCTGAGATACTGGACACAGTACCTGATATTTATTATTCAACTCATAGCTGCTTTTGCTAGACAGGCATTCATTCAAAACAGATCACTCCTAGGTCTGTCTGTTTGCAGCTGGAAAGGCGCTGGGGCATCTCCAGTGACACAATGCATGTACCATTGTTGAAAATGACAAGAGATGACACTCTAGGGATGTAGAACAAAAGCCTTGGATTTTCAGAAGCAGAGAGTGCCTCAGGAGAGTTTCATCTCTGAGGGAGTGCTCTTCACAATTTCAGTCCGTGCCACAACTTCAGGCCCAGAAAGACAAGAGAAGCTCCAGACCACGTTGGGCTTGTTCAATCCGCAATCCAGAAACCAGCAGCTGCCTTCAGCTGAGCCACTTTTGGCCTAAATGGCTCAGAAGACTCAGAGCTTATTTATCTACAATTAGTGCACAGCTCAGAAGGAAAATGCCCTTTAAGATAAGTCAGGCTTCCCCTTTGTGACTCTAGCTACCCTCATCATCACTGTAGATATGTGTCAACTGTATATGTTATTTTTAAAAGATAACGAGGAGTCCATGGTGAGATTTACCCTAAATTCAGCAGTGCTCCAAGGGCTGAACTCTGGCTAGGTGTCTCCCCAGGCCAACTCTGCAAGGCATTAGATGATTAGGGACAAAATTAGACACTGCCAAAAAATGAATACTAGTTCCATTGTGCACATGTCAGTGTCCTGAGAGGAAAGATAAAGCAGTTATGGAAGGACAATTGTCCACAAAGGGGCTACTCTATTGCCATACCTAAGGAGACCTTTACCAAACAGAACATAGAATTCTTTAACAGCCGCTCACCACTCCCAGGATTCAGGTAGGTTGTGAACAAAGCCAGGAAGGGAAGCAACAACCCAAACTTAAGCTGGAGGCACAGAGGTCTAACCCTGTAGAGGGCACATGCTGTGCCAAGTGGAACCAGGCCCTTCCCCACCAAAGACCTGGTTTGCTCTACATCCTTCTGCCCTGTAGGATGGCAAGAAGCTAAGTTTTGCCCACAGTTTTGTCCACAGTTGTGGACAGCTGTGGCTGGCACTATGGAGGGTCACTCAGGGATTGTAGACACAGTGTGGCTATTTGTGACTGTGTCTCTATCCTCAGGGTTTTGTTCAGAGAACGCCAGATTCACAAATTCAGAGACCTCCACAGGGTTCTGCAGCAATCCTTACATCAGGAGAGCCACCTAAAAAAAGAACCAGCCTTACCACATCATATCCATCCAAATATCTAAAATGTCAGACTCTAGACAGCTGTAAAATATAGGAAGATTTGAGCAAGGCATTGAAAATCAATAGTCCCACTATTTGAAGGTCCTAACTTTCTGGTGTTTGTCCTTGATTTATCCTCCCATACCATAAATGTATAGAGGTTAGATTGAATATATACATTCTATACTGTTGTCTATGGATGTTTAAATCCTATATAGTACATATAAATATATAATTGCTATTCTTTTTATCTGTTTTCCTTAAAATTTCAGAAGTGAAATAACTATGTGAATGGGAGGCAACACCTTTAAAGACTCCTGCCATCTTAAAGATTTGTAAGGGGCAACTGATTACTCACTTTCCTCTAGTCATCTGTGAAAATACTTGTAAAAGTGTGTCACATTCAATGGAGGACATGACCAGGGAGCATGAGGTACTGATCTTGGTCTTTGCCACCAGGAAGTTCTCCCTGTCATCTGCCCTAAATCTGTTCCGCTGAATTAATTTCAAATGTGTTCCTTCTTGTCATAGTCTCAATATAATTAGAAACAGCTGTTTCCTACTGTATCCTTGTCTGGCCTCTGAAGGAAACCTGTCACCACGTCTGCTCCCACCCTTCTGGTGTCTTTGATCCTGGCTAAAAGGAGATACAGTTGAGTTGTTTGCCTCTCTCAGACCTCCAACAAGACTTGCAGGGGTTTTATCCTGTATGTGCTCTCCAGTCTCTTCATCCCAGACAGAATCCAGCTCCTCCTTACAGAGATCTCTGGTAAAGACCCTGCCAGACCAGGGCTGTGTAGAGAGATAACCTTGGTCACAAGCCATGGGCTGCTATTTATACACTGCAGACTCCATGTGGCCCCACACTACAGTGCTGATTCATGGCTACTGATTAAACCATATTTGGTCTATACTGTAAATAAGGACAAGGAAAAAAAGTTTATATTGTCAATTTGTGAATCTCTTTGGGCTGATCACCAAGAGAAAAGGTTCTCTCTATAAATGAGTCCCCGATTTATCTTAGAACTCTTCAGGAATAAGAGTATGCAAAAGAAAGATTGATCTTAATAATGTGTAAATCAAAAATGAGATAACTATAGTGAATGTCTTGAATAAATTGTATAGGAAATGGACTTTGGCTTTTAACAGGATCTGCCTTTCTAATGATAAAATAATAAGAATAGTTAGTATTTATCAAACACTCACTATATGCCAAGCATTGTGCTTAGTATTTTGCTTTTACTTATCTGATTCCTTGTAATGACTCTATAAAGTGAGTACCAAAGTTATTTCATTTTTTTTTTACAGAGGAGAAAATTGCTTGTGGACGTATGAGCAGATCTTAGACATGTACTGCTTAGTTGAAACAAAGAAAAAGTAGAATGAAAAACAACACAATACCATTTATAAAATCAACAGATTCATATAAAACAATACACTCTTTCTGAGAATACAGGCAAACCAAAATCAAATGTGTTAGAGTGGTTATCTATGGGATGGGAACAGAAGCAAACAATCAGAAAGCCCTTGCATGTAGCAACAAGAACAGGAACTGAGGGGTTTAATACCTCAAATCAGTGTGTTAACCAATTCTTTAAAAGAAATGTGTCATACAGCTCAACCATTTTAGTCTGTGGTTTGGATGAGTGCCCTCCAAAGTCCTGTATGTAGGGCTTAGTTCCTTCCCAGGGTGGCACAACTGAGAGGTGCTGTGGATCTTTATGCAGTGGGGCCTTGTAGTTTTCTCACTTAATACAGGTGTGCCTTAGAAGGGTCACACACGTCATTCATTCTCTGTCACTGCCTGTCTCTCTGTCACTCCCCCTTCTGAACATTTGCTCTGATACTTACTTCCACCCTGATGTGCTGCCCTTGTCAGATAGCCAAGACAAAGGGGCTGCTTAACCCCCGGAACTATGAGCCAAAATAAGCCTCTCTTTATTTCATAAGTAGCCCATGTCAGAGATTTCACTATAGTGAAGGGAAGGTGACCAATGCATCTTATGTTGTCACGGTGCTTCAATGTCCTTAATTAAGTTAATTTTGACTTTGGGGAAGACTTAAAAGTTGAACAGCTCCAGGTGTGGTGAGTAAGGTGGCCGAGGACACATGTCATGTCTTTATGACTCCACCTTTCCACCTGCTGGCACTCAGAAGCAGCACTCACTATATTTTGGATAGCACCCCACAAAGACGTTCATGAAAGAGAACTGGAACGGCTTCAGAAATTGGCCATAGAATGGGATAGTGGGTTTGAAGTGAGGGGAACGTTTTCAGAGGGATTCATGGCAATATGTTTTCACTGTACTAAATTAAAAAAAATTTAAACATTCAGCATGTATTTTGATCACACCTTTTGTATTAGATCTTGAGGAAAAAGAAGATTTGCTAGATCTTTATGTGAGCGTCACAGCCAGCCATTCATCCATTCATTCAGCAAGTTTTAAATGAATATTGTTCCAGGTACTGGACCCGACAAAGGGCAAATAGAGAAGCATGGGCGTGAGCTCTGTCCTCCATGAACTCTTACGTATTGAACTATTCTCTAACCCCAGATCTTTCTTCTTCTACTGGCCCTGGTGAAGCCTGCAGCACAAACTGGTACATGCATTTTTAAAGTACTACCTGGCATTTCTTTCTTTTTTAAAAAAAAATGCATTTAGTACAGTCTACAGGGTCTCGCTACACAGATCAAACTCATAATGATCCTCCTGTTTTCAGCCTCCCAAGCGCTGTACCTAGCATTTCTTATTATCATTTGAATTTCCATCAAGAGAGTTTGATGTGACAATAAGATTCATTTTCACTACTGAGAATTGATTTTTCTTATTACTAATTTTCAAAGGAAGTTGGCAGAGCTGGCCATGGTGATATATACCTGTAATTCCCTTGCTGAAGGAGGCTGAGGCAATCAGATCATAAATTTGAGTCTCACCTGGGCATCTTAGTGAGTTGTACCTCAAAATAAAAAATTAAAAGTACGGAGGATGTAGGAGCTCAGTGGTAGAGAGCCTCAATATCATAGTGAGGGGAGTTGATCAAGAAAGAACAACACATACAGTAGGAACCTGGGAAACTTTAGCGATTTTTGCCTCATCAACATTAAAAAAGTTTTTTTTTTTTTTATGTGCCTGGGCTAAGAGATGAATATTTCAAAGACATATCAGGAAGGAGATCATTCTATAGTAAATGAACAAAATAGATATCTGGATGGAAATTTCTAGTATGGAACTGAGGAAGTCACAAACTCCCAGAGATTGCAGCCCTGGTTTAGACACTCTAGGAGTCACCTGGTTTACCTCAATAGTCTTACAAGTGTCCTCCAGTTGACTGATTATTCCTTGGACTCGATCGTTGCTTCCCACAAGAACAGCAATGCCATCACTGAGCTCCGACTGATGAAAAGAAAAGAGAGACTCAAGACCTGAGCAGGGCTGGGAAGATAGCTCGATGGTCTAAGTGCCTGCTCGACCAACTGAAGGACTCAGGTTTAACCCCCGGTACCGCATACTGTGCTGGCCCCAGAACCCTGGGCATGCCATTCCTGTCCAAAACTGGACGTGGTGGCACATGCTTGTAATCCCAGTACTGGGGAGGCTGAAACCTGAGGATCACTATGAGTCTTAACTGTGTGGTGAGACCCTGTACCAAATAAATAAATAAATTTTTAAAATAAAAAAATAGACCTGAGGGGTTTTCTAGTCACCAGTGACTGTGGATTAATCATAGTATTGTCTTCTTGGAGTCCCTTATTTAGGGTCCATGTAATCCCTAAGCAATAATAGAGAGGCTGTGAAACTTCTGACATTGCAAACAAATGGTTTTACAGTTTTCATCACATTCTTACTGGAGACTGACTTTGTTAAAGACATGGAGAACACTAAACTATGGGCCAATGAGAATAACATATTCAAGTTAAGGAATTCTAAACATTGTTTATAAGTGGAATGGAATATCATAGTTGATACTACATACCCAAAATTATGTGCTTAGTGTACTCAAGATCAGTTACACTTAGGAAGTGACCACAGTGAATACTAATTTATTTGTTATATATTTATCACAGGCCTACTATGCTAAGAATATATACATACATGTAGATACTCATTAGACTAAGTCCCTACAAACTTGAAGGTATGATAACATGCAACTTTGAAATTCTTGTGTTCTTTTTTATTTTAGGGAAGAGTGTACAGGGTGGTCAGGGTCTCACTACTAGACTGGACTCATAGTGATCCGCCTGTTTACAGCCTCCTGAGAGCTGGGATTACAGGCATGCACCACCATGCCCAGTCTCATTTGCTGGCTCAGAGTGCCCTGGGGGTGGGGCCAGAATAGCTGGCCCAGGGATGGACCCTCTGGCCCTTGTGCCTGCTTGCAGGTGCTTTAATCCACTGAGCTATTTGGCCGGCCCTGTTCTTTTGACCTAAGGTATTCTTTTCTTTATGATTGGCTTCTTTCTAATGCTGGGTATAGATCCACAAGGAACAATGAACCAAAACTTAGGAAATTTGAATGTTTGGTCCAGTTCTGCTCTTAACTTTTCTATAACATTGGGCAAAATAGGTAATTAATTTGGGCCCTGATTATATCATATTTAAAGGAATCAGCACCTGGACAAATATGGCAGTTTTAAAACATGAAAGCTGCAGAATCATATTTTTAAGTAAAAGCCAATATAGCCTCCTCCTGGTAAAAATGAAGCTGCTTTGATCAAATAGGATTCAGGATATCTCTCTGTCCATCCCAAGAGTTTCCAGGGCCCTGAGAGATGTATGTATACCTCTGTTGTTGAACAACTTCAAGCTCAAGTTTTACACTACTTGAACGGCAAAATTTGAAAAAAAAAAAATCTTGGTGTTCCTAATTTTTCTGTCTAGTCCAACTGAAATCTGACTTCAAATAACTTGTACCAGATAAGAGTGAATCATGTATCACATTTCACATGGACACAAAAGGGTGACATTTCAGTTTAAGCACCACTCTTGCCCATCAAATTTTCAGTGAGAAAAGGTGAAAAAAGAGCAAGACAAAAAACCCCTGCAAGTGTACTACTTGGAGTTATTATGGAAGGAAGGAAAATCTTTCTCCTCTTCCAGTTTCTCTCCAGCTTCCAATAGGCCATGAAGCCTCCAACTCAAGGTGAAGTACCTGTACAATTTTCTTTTAAGTTTTATTTGTTATACTGTGTGTTGATATTCAATCCACTGTATTTACTCTGTTTAGGTATTTTAGAGGCAATTTCCACAACCTACGGCTGTTAACTTTGTGTTAACATCCTGGAAAAATGAATTTATAAGTGTAATGTTGGGGCCTGAGAACCAATTATTTGGTTTTCCATTATTTCTTATGAGGAAAAATATGTTCAATTCTCAAATATTTCAGTGTTTGAAATGAATTTGGAATGAATTGACTTTGAACTGAGTTACTACTATAGTGTGAAACAGGTGCCATCTAGTTCTACTATGTTAGGACTTGGGAGGTGAAGGGAGAATGGAGAAGGGAGAATGAATTAAAAGTAAATTATAAAAGTAAATAGTATCAATATCTTGTAAGATCTTCCTTCTTTAGCAACTAGCGTGTATTGGCTGTAACTTGTATTGACCAAGAATTTGGCTTCCAAATTTGCTTTCAACTCTGATCTTCATAGTGAAACACTGGCAAAAAGTAGAATTGATGACTGATTGAAAGAAAATGAGAAATGGAGCTGCTCAAATTTTCTTATCAGAAGTGGTCGCAACTACTGGCTCACCAGTCCCTCCTTTATTTGAACCAAACAGGTAAATTCTAAACTGTTCCTGCATGAAGCCAGGTTGGCAGGTTGGCAATAAGCTGAAGTAGAGGGTGAATTTGGTCAGGATGGGATGGTGAGGTCTTGAGGTGAGGACCATATATCATACTCAATGCCTTTTAGCACCTGCTCCAGACTACCTAAGGTAGTAGGAGGAAGTATTTTAGAACTGTTGTGTAGCTCCGTGTCATTATTGTAATTCCTCCAACAAAGACTTGGAGATGAAAGGGCAAAGAGAATCTTTCATTGGTGGATAATAAAAAGTATTCTGTGGCTAGAGAAAAATAAAAGCCACCATGTTCATACTAACACTTTAAGCTTCAAATAATCTTTAGCAGTCTGAGCTTGGGCTCTGCCTCTTAATACTGCTTTTCTGCAGCAATCTGACTATGACGCTGTCCTGTATCTCTTTCTGAACTGCGACACTGGGACCTCTCTGGTCTTTGCCACCTCGTTGCAGGAAATCTAACATGGTGGCACGTGGACACCAACTGCAGAGCATCCCTTTATGTGGGCTCTCTACACACAGACATCAAGGTCTCATGGCCCTTGTGTGGCTTGGGCTCCTTCCTCCATCCATAGCAGGGAGCTGACCACACCAGGACTTGGAAGGGGCTGAAGAGAAAGAGCTAGAGAGGCTACATTACCTTCTGCCTTTGGAACACGTGAGTGAGGGGAGCCACCTGGCAGTCCTTGTGAGCACCAAACACCTTGCACAGGGAGCAGGTGGGCACGTCACAGTTGAGACAGTAGATGTTGATGCGCTCTTCTTCATGCTCTTCACACATGGGCTGATCGGACTTCTTTTCTGGCCTGGGGGGAGTTTAAGCAGATAAATGCTTATTAACTTCTCTTGGAGCAGAGCACAATTTGCCTTACAAACTCCAGCTGGTCTTGAACATTCAGCAACACTATCTCAGAAGATTCCCAGAGTCACTTTCATGAGCCTAGAACTTTCCCAGCTCAGCTTCTCTGCAAGTTTAATGGTGGGACTTGACAAATATCTAGCAATTTGCTTAAGATGGGGCTTGGGGCTCAGAGACATTGATTTGTCAAGTTTTGTGGTGTATTTCCATAATGGCCATTTCAAGTCAAAGTTTTAAAAACTGGCTAGTCAAATTTGTGAACATTGAATACTGGGCTCTAGTCAGGAGCCCACTCCAGCTCTATGCTTATAAGCTTACAATCTTTCCTATGATGAGTAAAGAAAGAAAAGTTGCTAATAAATTATGTTCGCTTTACACCAGTGGAGGAACTCCATCCTACCTCTCTAGCCTCTGGCCCCAGCAAACATTTTTTCCTCTACAAGATTATGGCTAGGGAGACCTGAAAAGTTCTCTGGTATTCATCTGTGTGCCAGTTAGAACTAGTTGTATATAAAAATGAGATAATAGTGTATCCTTCTTTTATAAGACCTGGGAATCTTTATAAGCCCTATTTAAAAGTATTTGGAAAATTCAAATTCAAATCCAAAAGCTTTGCTTATATTGCCGAACATAACATTATTTAGAAGTATCTCAGATACAGGACTACTTTTTTTCAGCTTTTGTTGGATACATTTCTTAAAACCATAGGTTCTAGAGAAGTAAAATAAATTTAGAGATCATAACTAGCATTATTAAAGTAAAAGTAGAGGAGAATAGCAAATACTGTGAATTATACATAGTAAGATAAGTATTAATATGTAAAAACTTTTGTTTCAGGTGTACATTTTCAAATATAAAGCATATACATATATTTGCATGATTCAAGTATACGTTTGTATACACAGACATAAAACAGAAACATGTTTTATATGTATCCATCTATATATGTAAGTGGTCACTAATTACAAGGTAAAACAATTATTTTCTCTGAGTCACCAAGAAAAATGTTTGAACACCATTAATATTGGTGTGTCACATCACATAGCTGCAGTGCCAGAACGCAGAGAATGATAGAGAACATGCTGCTATACCTCTGTAAGTCCCTAGAAGAAGTTAAGTACTTGAGTTGAGAGAACTAAATATTGAGAAAAGACTAGTTCTGGTAAGAAGGTTGTATGAATGTCCAGCTTCAAGATTTTGTAATCGGGTTTGCAAAAGGCATTTCTGTCTGGTTTTATAGTAAAATACTTCCATAAGATCTACAGCCTCCTGACTTAACCATATGAGAAACGTCTACCAAATGTTAGAAACTGGGAACATCTGGACAAAAGGAAATAATGTACCAAAGATGTATCTTACTTTACTAAATGCCTGTAGGGTAAAAGCCTACAAGAAAACAGCTGACTTGAGTTAGGGAGGCTGGAGAGGTTTGGAAACTGCTGCAGAAGCAGCAACTCAACTGTGCCAAGGTATCCCCAATGCAGTGGTGTGAGGGAGGCTGAAGAGAGAAAGGCTCTGTGCATATTTTAAGACAGTACATGAGGATGTATTCTGTAAAGACGATGGAGTAAGGAACAAAGAGGAAGACACAAAATCCAGAAAATAAGGATTTCAACCAAAAGAGAGTAAAGGAATTCCCAAGGAGAAGGCAGAGTCCAGTCATAAGAGGGCTCAATCCTAATCAATTATGCTGGAAAGTTAGTAATATCTAAAATTGAAAAATCAAGAATCAGAAGTACAGCATTCAAATGTAAGTATCATTAGTGATAACATAAAAAACACCTAAAAAATTAATGATGACTCATTTTGGGGAAGTAACATTTTAGTTTTAACAAAAATACCGTGGGAACCATGCCTCTCAGTACAGGCCCTTTAATTGTTTAGACAAGATGTCATGTCTGCATCTTGTCCTCTGAATAACTACTACGAAGACAATATGCGATGTATTAATTACTGTAAATGTCCTTCTAACCTGGTTTCATTGCTATTTTATCTTTTTAAATTTTTTTTAATCTCTCATTAAAATGAATAAAAATTTAAACAAAATACAGGCCCTTTAATACTGTTGGAATATTATTTGTTTATTTTTATTTTTTAGTCTTTCCATCTTTTATTACTGCAACAGCTTCATGTCTTATTTAGCCTTCTGACTCTGTGCTTGTGCCTTCAACACCTTCACCACGATTTTCTGCTCTTCTCTTCAATAAGGAAAGCGCACTTGATCCTGATGCGGACACGCTTGGACCCTTGGAGCCCCCGTAAGCCCTGCCGACATGCTTTTTCGTTTTAGACAATCTCATAAGAACTTCAGGCCGCACAGCTAGAACTCCTCAAAGTCCACCCGGGCGCACACCACAGGCAGATTCGGGGGCCTTCCCAACCTTCTTGGTATAGAGGTAAACAATCCTATTCCCTGGGGCTCGGAACAGCCTAGCTTTGTTAGAGGCAGTGTTGCAGGAAAGCCTACGACTGTATGGCAGGCGCTGGACCACGTAAAAGCCTCTAGACACCGTACCCGGAAGAGGGGACTGTTGGACTTTTAAAAGTTCTCATGTAACTTACTTTCATTAAAACATCAAAGACCTTTTATAGAGCGATAAAAATAACAAAGGCCACCTCACAGGACTGGTTTTTAAAAATGTATTTAGTACAGGGTCTCACTATGGAGGTCCCACTTGTAGCGATTCTCTAGTTTTCAGCCTCCCAAATGCTGGGATTACAGGCGTGCCCCACCACACCCAGTCTTAATTTCCATCTCAGAGCTCCCCGCACGTGGGGCTGACATGGCATGCTGGTGATCTAACCCTGGTGGCTGCGCTCTGTCTAAGCAGATGCTTTAGGCTGCTGAGCTATCTGGCCGGCCCTAGGATTGTTGAATTAAAGATTTATACATGATTCACTTGCAAAGCACCCTGAGGGGTGTTGGACACATAGTGCATAATTTTCCTTATTGTATTTGAAATTGCTATCATGTTTATTGTTTATATTAACCAAATTAGTGCCTTCTCTTGCCAGCCCCCTATTATACAGAGTTCTAGATAAGTCCAGGATTTTTGGAGACCCACAGTCTCTAGCTGTTCTGTAAGAGATAAGAGTTGACCAATATCTCATAGCCTATTATTGTCATAGCTCCTTTTCTGTTGTCACCCTAATGAACAGAGCTTGGTTCATTGTATTCTGTAAGAACAAAGTATATCCCCGATTATTCCATCATTGTCTACTATTCTCCAAGACTCAGGGTTCTGGTCTGTTAAGGCTGACAGCCTCTAGGGAACAATTGGTTTTATACTGAGATATGTGGCCACGCCCTCTGGGCAACTTGTGGTTTTGTCATCAAGTAAAAATGTACCAAAGGCAAATCTCAGAAGAAACAAGAAACAACGTAAGAAGAAGAATAATTTGGGAATCATAAAACACTTGTAAAGAATAAAGCTATGAGATTTACTTTTACTTTTTTTTTTTTTTTTTTATGTACTTAGGACGAGGTCTACAGGGTCTCACTACGTAGATTGGACTCATAGTGATCGTCCTGTTTTCAGCCTCCCAAGTGCTGGGATTACAGGTGCACAGCACCATGCCCAATCTCAGTCATGGTCTCAGCGCACCCTGGGGGTGGGGCTGGCACAGAAGGCCCAGGATCGATCTCTGGCTGCTGCGCTCTGCCTAAGCAGGCACTTTAGTCCATGTGTTATTTGGCCAGCCCTTGCTGTGAGCTTTATTATTGGAAATTTGGTTCATTGCTTTTTATATAATTTGCTTCCCAGCTTCTAGATACTATTTTTTGCAGCTACACCACGAAAGACTTAATAGGGTAAAGAGTTGTCTAGAATAGTTTTACTAATGCTACAAGTTTTAACATTAGCTCTCCTCTGAATTTTACAGCAAGTATTATTATTTTTCATGGTTTCCAGAGTTCTCACTGTGAAAAATTGTGAGAAAAAATATTGCAATAAATATGGAATATGGAAGAATATTTGTGGTGGTGTTTAAATAGCTGGCACTATGGAGCAGCTGTTCTGTGCAAAGTGCCATATGGGGTACAGAAGCAGCTGCCATATGAACTCCTTTTAATAATTGTTTAGCTACTAATTGCCTGGTGAATTTTTGAAGAAGCTGTGTATACAGTATTTCTATTTTAAAGTAATGAAATAGAATGAGATCAGATCTATGAACTACTGTGAATATAGTGAAAGCTAATCTGGGAAATACACTGAGGTCTATGATAGTGCTTTCCTTTTTTAAGGAGATTTTGGAGCAAAGGAAACAGGGGCCCACAGGATATAATCAACAATTCTTCCCCAACCCCATCTATATCCTGGCATTAATTTAGTTTTGAATTCTTAAGCAGAAACTAACAGCCATAATAATTGCAATAATTACATGTTAGATTTATAGAATGGTTTTCCTTGTAAGAGCACAAGACTCTTAGAGCCCTGCAGATATTCCAGAAATACATGTCCCTTAGTGAGAATGACGATGGGGCCATTTCTCTATGGTCCCCAAATTGCTTTCAACTTTATGGTATAGATTGACTTGAGCACAACTGTAAAGGATTCCTCGCATTATATCTTCTAGGGATATATTCCTGTAGTGTCATCTCTAGGAAAGAAAGTGTACAGCCAGTGTAATTCAATGAATTAAAAAACCTGTTACATTTTTAAATGAATGGATGTATATACTGCATATCAGTCAACCAATAAATCCACAAAGGAATGCTAGGTATATGCAATAAATACAGTCTAGGAAATGGGGAAACAAAACCTGAGCTCCATCTGTTTTTTAATCTCCCAAATCTCTTAAACTGTAAATGCATAAAGGCAAAATATGTACATATTTTCCCCTTCTCTCTTTCTTTTTCTTTCTTTCTTTCTCTTTCTTTCTTTCTTTCTTTCTTTCTTTCTTTCTTTTTTTCTTTCTTTCTTCTTTCTTTCTTTCTTTCTTTCTTTCTTTCTTTCTTTCTTTCTCTCCTTTTCCTCATCACAGTTGTTCTTTCCTTTTGAGAAGTTTCTATCTCTTTCACAATATCTACTGTACCTTTTGAATTTTATTTACTTTAATTCCTTACACTAGGGTGACAATACAGTGTTTACACTGAAGATCTGATTTCACTTATGAGTATGGTTTCTGGTTCAGGGCCACTTGCAATTAGGCCCAAAGGGATTATTTTATGATAGGATTAAAGTAGTTAGTGTTGCACCTACTTACCTATAAAAGCCTCAAGTTTACCTTTCTGTTTTAGAATATGCCATTTCTGTTAATTTTTTTACAAAGTTTTGTACTAGAATTTTTTTCTGCTTTATAGGATTTGGAATTATAAAGGAACCATGAGGTGAAAAAATTTCTAAAACGTATGAAACACACAGCTGTAGGGGAGGACATTGCCATACGGGATGAATTAACGTTAGTGAATCACTTAGTTCTTAAATGATACAAAACATGAACACCAGCTCCCTTCTTTCCTTCCATTAACAATTCTCAGTTCTACTGAGATGGACTGACTTGGAAAAACTCTTTTGCACAAAATAATTAATTTGTGATTGATAAACAAGCAATGTAGCAACCCATTAAAATCCACAAACACAAGAACAGGTATAAATAGGTCTGGTCACGGAAGAATGTTACCTGATGGACTCCTGCTTGTAGATGTCGATGATGTTTTCCACCAGCAGGTTCCTCTGAAGTCCATACACTCCATGTCTGTCCAAAACCACTTCGTGCCTACAGGAGGGGCAGCGGAATCTGCCCCCTGATGCCACGGTGGTGCCTCCTCTGGTGGGCAAGTATGGGTTAGAGGCCTGTTCTTGCCAAGCAAGCAAAGAGGAATTGAGCAATGCTACAGTGAGCTTTTCTGAGACTTATTTTCACTCTCTGTGATTACAAGCAACATGAACTATTTTAACCCTGTCATAAAATAATCCCTTTGGGCCTAATTGCAAGTGGCCCTGAAACAGAGGGCCTGCCCTTATCCACAGACAATGTGCCACTGTCACTTCCTCTAAGGTTTTCTTAAAAAACAAAACAAAAAATACAGAAACTCTAATATTTATGTCTTGAGCAGTAATTCATTTTCAGTTGTGAAAGAAGTTCAGTGATTTGGATTCATTGGAAACAAATATGATGGTTGGAATTAAAATACCACTGGATTTGGGAGTAAGGAGGAACACGATAGCAAATTGCAAAGCAAATCATTCAAATAAACTGAAAATAAATAGAGCCTTACAAAATTTTCTATAAGAATTCATTTCAGAATTAATCATTTGATTCAGATAGGAGGGAATCTTTTCTACTCCTCAAATACCAAAGAAACATACCTGGAAAATGTCACTGGCACATTTCCTACACAGGTTATGCTGACAGGGGAGAATGACCACTGGTTTCGTGAACATTTCTAGGCAGATGGGACAGATCAGTTGTTTCTCCAAGTTATCCATGGTTTGTTGCTCTTTGGAAAAAGACTTGTAATTCAGAGAGGCACTCATCTCCTGGCCGTCTCTGAGTGCACTGCCAAGGGAAGGATGCTCCAAGTGGCTCCTGGTAGTGTTTCCTGGAAAGAATTCCAAGGGTTGTGTTCTCAAGTGTCCTTTATGTTTCTCTACATGGAGGACATTGTTTCAGGCTCTGGTTCGGAGTGGGTGCTGGAGCTGTTTTTAGCCGGCTTGGGTCACGTGACAGTGGGCTGACTTGTCCATATAAGCCAGTGACAGGAGGATGGATTCCGACAGGTGACAGAGAGCAGGAGTCAACATTCTTGTCTCTGGGAGTGAAGAGAGTGGGTGGGAAGGGGGATTACAAACCCCATTTGGCTGGGGCTGTAGAGTGGAAGGAGTTTGAAGCTGACAGTTGTCAACAACAAATGCAAATATGTATGGCTGGTCTCTGAGCCAAGTCCTCAAAGAACACTCAGTGAAACTTGGTGACAGCCTTGCCCAAGAAGTGACAATATGCAGCTTGAGTCTGACTGTATAACAAAATTCAATTTAATTATATGTTTAGGAAGCAAGACAACAAAAATACCATGATAGTACCTGCTTAAATGACACCAAACAAAACATGTTTTAGACATCATTATCCTGGTTTCACAAGGGCAGTCATTTAGGAAGACATGTTGAATATTAAATATTTTTATCTTTGTCAGGGCTGTGGCTGGGGAAAAATTCTAATTTAAGAGTTGAATTGAAATTCTTCCACCATAAAGGAATTTACCAACTAAGCAATGAGTTAAATTACTCATTTTTTAAAAACTCTAGCACACTGTTTTCCTTCCACATTTGCTTACCTCCTCCCTCTTTTATCCTCTATCTCTGATCCATATACATACCCCCAAACACAATATAAATTTGATTGTCTTTAAATTTTAATGTAGTTTACAATAATAGTCAAACTGGGGTAGTAACTGGCCTGTGGCTAGCAGACCCACATGCACAGGGGGACAGATGTCTCGAGCAGCTGAGCTGTAAACACCTATTCCTCTGTGGTCAGCTTCTGAAATACCTATGTGCTTGTCTCTTCTTCCAAGGTAATGTTTAAAAGGAATAATTGCCTGTTGAGTTCTGGTATTCTTCTGCTTTTGTTTTTTCAATCTTGGTTTGTTTGTTTGTTTGTTTGTTTGTTGTATTGGTGTTCAAACCCAGTGCCTTGCCCTTGCCAGGCAGGTGTATATGCTGCTGAGCTATCTCCCTAGCTCCCTGTTTTTTTCCTTTTTGTCTTGAGACAGTATCTTGCTGTATAGCCCGGGCTAGCTTTGAACTCACTTTGTAGCCCAGGCTGGCCTCAAATTCATGCCGATTCTCCTGTTTCAGCCTCCCAAGTGCTGGGATTACAGTCATGCAACACCATATCCAGTGAGTTCTGATATTCTTGGCCTGATGTTAAGTCATAAACATAGATTCTGGCTGGCAGCTCAAGATGGCGGAGGAGGGTGAGACAGCAGTGAAGTCCCTGGCACCTTCGCGGCCGCAGAAGCTGGAAGGCAACGGGAACAGCCATGGGCACTGCAGCGACTGCGAGAACGAGGAGGACAGCAGCTACAGCCGGGGTGGTTTGAGTCCAGCCAATGACACTGGAGCCAAAAAGAAGAAAAAGAAACAAAAAAAGAAGAAAGAAAAAGGCAGCGAGACAGATTCAAAC